ATATTTCTGAAGTTTTAACATATTGAGAGATCATCTTCCTATCATTAACTTGATGTGTTAATGACAACCAATCTGAGTAATGAATTCTTGGGTCACATCTTTTTACCTCAACATTTTGTAGACATCATTCCACTTTCTTCAGGCATCTAATGTTGCTGAGATTTCTTAAGTCAGCCTCCAAAAGAATAATAATAGTAGCTAACATTTACTGAACATTTTACTGTTTGCTAGGTACCAAGCAAACAATGGTCCTAAGAATCCAACAAGGCAAATGTTATTATTATCCAAATTTTGCCAATAAAACTGAACTTTAAAGAAGTTAGATCATTTCCCCAGAACCAAATGCAAGTAAGTATCAAAACAAAGATATGAGCCAGATCTTCCATGAAATCTGTGCTTTTAACGACTACAATCACCTCACCAGTCCTACTATTCCAAGGCAAAGGGGTAAACTCCAAGTAGGGCACAAGAAGTTTCTCCTGTGGCTTGCTACCCGTGGGACCCTTTCGGAACTTCCTTACTAATTCCAGTACACTGGCCCATGCTTTGATAAGAGAAGACATGTCAAATTAATATCCTTTTTTAATTTAGTCCAAATGTACTGTATCTGTCAGATATTATTTGAAATTCTTTGATATAAGAATATGGACATTTCCTGATTTCAGTATAAATGATGTTTCTTTTTCTGTTCTTTTGGTATTATTCATTTCTGATGTTTTGAAGATGAGAAAAGTAAGAATGTATACTTTCTCTGTCATGATTGCTGGACTCCAGATAGACTGGCACCAACAGAAACGCAGGCAGAGAAACACAGTGGAGGCCTCTGCAATATTACAGGTGTTCAGAGCTCCAGCAAAATCTGAGCAAAAGTTAAGAAAGAGAATTGATAAAAGTTGTTGACTCAAAGAAATTGAGAGAGAGCAAGAGAAAAATGACTCAGAATGTGAAATACAGGAAAGAAGGGAGAAGGTAAACAAGAATGTAGTTTGAGGCATCTCATTTATAATTCTGTATACATTACTCCCACAGGATAGGTACTTGAACATTTGCTGAATTAAAGATTTGCCAGCGTGAGCTTGAATAGATCCTATAAGTTAATATAGACATGGAAAACTAATGATACAGGTTCACAGGCTCAGAATCTGAAAGAAAAGACCAGTAAGGCTTTAAAATAAAAACAAAAAAACAAGACTATTATTACTCAAAATATACTCTTCAGGAAGCTGATCTTGATGGCCCTCACGCATTTCATCACTATGACACTAAATAAGGTAAGGAGAGCTGACAGGTCCCTTTTGAAACTCTCTTCAAGGCTACTTGAACATGCTCGAATATCATTTGCTGATAAACTATTTAGGAGAGGCAAGGTAAGTCTTTTTAGTGGTTAGTTTTATATATTCCAGTGTAATAAGAATTCTAGTATAGAAAAGATATATTAAAAAATATATACATATTTGTTTCATTCTGAATTAAGTGCAAATTTAGAATTTGCAAGAATAGGACAAAGAACACCTATATATCCTTCACCCAGATTCACCAACTGTTAACATTTTGCCCAACTTGCTTTATCACTCCTTTCCTTTTCCTAAATCTTTTGAAAATAAGTCCTAGACACATTCTTCAGGATGTATTTCCTAAGAGCAAAGACATTCACTCACGTAATCACAGTACAATTTTCAAAACCAGAAAATGTAACATTGATAAAATACAATTATCTCATCTACAGACCTCAAACATGGCCAATTGTCCCAATAACGTCCTTTTCAGCAACTTTTGTTTTTCTCATCTAGGATCCAATCTAAGACCACACCATGCATCTTGTTTTTATGACTCTTTAGTCTCCATTAATCTGGAACAGTTAGCTTCTCAGCTTTTGTCTTTTATGACACTAACATTTTTGAAGAGTACAAGTCAACTGTTTCACAGAATGTCCCTCAACTGGAGTATGCCTGATATTTCTGCATGATGAGATTCAACGTTATGCTTTTTTGGCCGAAATATCACAGAAGCGATATTGTATCCTTAGAGCATCAGAGTAGGAAGTACAGCATATCAGTAAGTCCCATTACTGGCAATATTAACCTTGATCACTTGGTTAAGGGGGAGTTTCTCCATTATAAAGTTATCATTTCTCGCTTTGTTATTAATAAAGTAATTTGTGGGGAGATTCTTTTAACTACATAAATGTCCTATTCCTCATAAAACTTACACTATTTTTAGCATCCACTGTTAATTCTTCTCTCAATCACTTATTACCATGATGGTTGCAAAACAATTTTTCTAACTCTTTCATTATTATGAATTTATTAGTTGACATTCTATGGTAAGAAGCAGAAGTTTCTTTACACCCACGTATTTACTTATTTATTAAAAGTGTGGATTCTTATTTAATTCAATAGGTCTATAATCCATTTTGTTTTGATATCAAATAGCCCCAGACACAGTAAGTTGGAACTCCTTCAAGCTAATTTCTATGTCCTTTTGACATGTCCCCACCATTTGTTTGAGCATTTCCTTGCTTTTTGGCACAAGATGTTCCATTTTGTACCTTCTCTGTACCATCCTTGGAATCAGCCACTTCTCCATGTGCTGAGTTCTTTCAACAGGAGATGGTTTTTTTTTTTTAGAAACCCAGATCTGGTCTCAAGGTACACTCACTGCTAATAGCATATCACTGCTTCTAGCCCCTTTCAGCAGAAAGAGCTAGCAGATATATTATAATATTTTTTATAAACTATATCCAATTTAAGAAAAACAATATACTTTCCACTACAGCATTTGGCCAACACATATTTAACAGAAATATCCACACAAAAAAACTGCTTAGTGAAATGCTCTTAATTTAATGCTGGTTAATTTTTCCTTTTAAATTTTGTATAAATTTTTCTTCTACACAGTAAGTTTGTCATATAAATCTTTCAATTTTATGAAAACAGGGCACACATATAACTGTAATTTGATCACTTAAGGTTTAGAAGTCAAAGCTAGGAGAACCTCTTTTCCAACAGTAAGAGTAAAGAGAGTTTAACAAAGCTCAAGAATAATTACTATTTGAAAAATAAGAGAATAGAGGGAGCTTTATGTCATTTTTTTCTTCTAACATTACAAAAAAATACTAAAATTAAATTAGCAAGTTGATCAGAAGAGACAAATTAATCTGTTTAAAATACTAACTCCTTGCCACTCTTCCCTCCTACAAGAACTACTGGAATACTCTGAGGGTGTGAGCACCTATGTGAACACCTTGGATACCTACACATCACTGCACATCTGATCCAGAGAGGCTGATAATAAGCAAGTTACATGAGACAGAATATACCCTAAAGTTGTGACTGTCTTCTTAAATCTGTTTTCTCAGTTCATTCAATTTCATCACAGGCTCTCTTAGGTAATCGTTTAACCTAACCAGCATTTATTAAATATCTGCTTTATTCCTAGAGCTGAGCTAGGTGTTCCCTCCAAATACACCTCCTCTTTGATCTTACTGGGAAGTCCTTCAATCTCTCTCTTTTTACTTTATCCCCTCTTTCTCTTCACTCCACTTCGTTCCCTACCCTATGCAGACCTCACAGTACATCAATTCAGCCACCGTCTTGGGAGAATCCTCAATCTTAGACATCAACATTAGATGTCTAAAGCTCTCACGCCATTAATTATACTCTCCTATATCTTTAATCTCTTTCCTTCAGTCTATAAAGTTCTCAAATATCTTGCATGTAAAAACACTTTCGTTTAAAAAATCCAAGCATCTAAAAGAAAAGCTTTTCCTCCCATTACTCAACTCACTGCAATCTGGATGTTATCCTGAACTTTTCCCTCTTCCTCACCCAAAAAGTTAATTCATGGTTACTCTTTCCTGTATTCCTCTATTTGTCCTCACTCCAACTGCTTGAGTTCAGCCCCAGGTCTGTTCTCATACGACTACGGCAGTAATGTCCCAATTCACGTCCTTGTCTTGAACCTCTCCTTAAACACCCCCTTCCTCACCTACCTCTCTATATAGTGCTGCCAGAATACTTTTTATAAAACCCAAAACAGGGCTGGCCCCGTGGGTTAGCAGCTAAGTGTGCGCACTCCGCTACTGGCGGCCCGGGTTCGGATCCTAGGCGCGCACCGAAGCACCGCTTCTCCGGCCATGCTGAGGCCACATCCCACATACAGCAACTAGAAGGATGTGCAGCTATGACATACAACTATCTACTGGGGCTTTGGGGAAAAAAAAAAAAGGAGGAGGATTGGCAATGGATGCTAGCTCAGAGACGGTCTTCCTCAGCAAAAAGAGGAGGATTAGCATGGATGTTAGCTCAGGGCTTATCTTCCTCAAACACAAAAAAAGGAAAACAAAACAAAACAAAACAAATAAATTGTCTCTCACATTTAAAACAAACCTATAATTTCTCAGTGTCTAAAAATTAAAATCCAAGTCTTCATGGAATACAAAGCCCTCTATTATCTGGCCCCTGTTCTACCTATTGTTGTAGAAATCCTCGTCCCCCTTGAGCCACCCAAACTTTTTTGTACCATAAGCTCCAGTCTTTACCAATGATACCTAAACCCCAGAACTATGCTGTTGATCACAAATATCCTGTGCTCATACTGTTCCATCTTCTGGAATTCCCATGCTCCCCTCCTGACTCAGTTTACTCTTACTCATCTGTCAAGATCTAGCTCAAAAATCTCTTCCTCCATTAAGTCTTCCCAACCCACACAAATAGAGTTAGTCAGTCCTTTTGTGATACCACTTCACCTATGTATTTATCTCTATTACAGCATATCCCACGTTAACAAAATTAATTGATAGTATGTCTGTCTCCCTTTCTAAACTGTGAGCTCCTTGAAGGCAATGGTTGCTTTTTAACCCATCATTATATCCTCTATGCCTATCAGTCCAACAGTGTTCAATAAATACTGTTGAATAAATGAAATCAGAAGCAGAATACAGAATGAAATTACAATCTCATACAAATAACATAAGCTTGAATGCTAAAACATGTTCCTACCTGGTAACTAACTGTTTTCTTTCCATCACTTCCAGTCTGAGGTAAGGTCAATGGTCCAGAGACTATCCAAACATCTTCAAACCTCTCTGTCAGTTCTCGACAGTACATTTCTATTCTGAAAAACAAAGCAAAAAAAGGTATGATATTCTCAGACATAAATGTAGAAAAGAAACAAACTATATCAAGTTCTTGGGAAAGATACCAAGAACACTGAATTTAAGAAATTAATGCAAACAAGAGACTATGGTACAAAACATTATAAGCATATAAGCAATGATCTTCCCATTTCTTACGGCACAAAAAAAAAAAAATCACACAAATTAATACAACTATCTACATTTTCCTATGTCCATTCAGCATGCATTTTAGAACTAAAATTTTGTTTTGTTTTCTCCCTTATTTTTCTATGCTGTAGTTCTCAAACTTTTTTCAAGAATTATATATCAGGGCCGGCCCCGTGGCTTAGCGGTTAAGTGCGCGCACTCTGCTGCTGGCGGCCCGGGTTCGGATCCCGGGCACACACCAACGCACCGTTTCTCCGGCCATGCTGAGGCTGCGTCCCACATACAGCAACTAGAAGGATGTGCAACTATGATGTACAACTATCTACTGGGGCTTTGGGGGAAAAAACAAAATTAAAAAAAAAATAATTAAAAAAAAAGAATTATATATCATTCTAACAAGTTGCTATACCTTATTTATTTAACCATTCCTATTGTGGGACAACTAGGTTTATCCTAACATTTCTTATATAATGCAACGTTGTATTAATTCCTTAGGATAAATTTCAAGGGCCAGAATTACTTTACTGAATAAATATTTTAATGACGCTTGATTATATGTCAAACTAACATTTCGAATGAGATTGTACCAATTTACTCTATAAACTCCAAAATATGACATAGCAATTTCACAGTAATCTTTACAACACTGGATTTATCACTTAAAAGCTGTTTTTGCTAATTTACTAGGTAAAAATGGCAAGCAGTTTCACTATGCACTTTCTTATACTGCAGTTGGAAGAGATTTATAAGATAACAATGTATGTCACCATTCTTCAGTTTCCTTATCTAAAAAGTAAAATCAAGATTATTATATCTTATAGCATGTATGCCCAATTATAAGGCAAAGTTTTCCACCCGAAAATATATCCCTTGGGAAAGGAAAATGTTAAATGCTTCCACAGGTATGCAATCAGCCAGAATACGGAAAGGAAACGTTATAGGACAAACATCCCAGATCTTGAACAAATAACATGCAAGGGGAAAAAAAAGAGGAAGGGAAACCTACAGATTAAAAGAGACTAAAGAGATATATCACCCAAATCTATGTGTGGACCTTGTTTGACTCCTGATTCAAACCAATAAACCAAAAAAAAAAAAAATTTAAAGACAATCAGGGAAATTTGAACACTGACTGTAACATTGGTAATAAGGAATTACTGTTAAATTTTTTAGGGGCAATAACAGTACTGGGGTTATATTTTAAAAGAATCCTTATCTTCTAAAAATATTTATTTATGAAATACTTATGGATAAAATTATATATCTGTCACTTGCTTAAAACAATCTAAGTAGGGGAAAGGGAGGGTATTGTAGATGAAATAAATGTGGGCCATGACTCATAATCACTGAAGTCTCTTTTAGTGTGGGGTGCTCTCAATTACTCTAAACCACAAAGTACTGTGGGGAAAACACAATAGCCTGAAACAATCTCAATCAGTACTAGTTTTAGATGCTTAAAGAGATCCCCTGACAGAAGTGGTTAAAAAGTATCCAAAAAATGCAGACGGCCCAGATGATTTTACAGTTAGGTTTCATCAAAAACTGGTTAATGAGGGGCCAGCCTGGTGGTAAAGTGGTTAAGTTTGCACACTGCTTCAGTGGCCCAGGGTTTGTAGATTTGGATCCCAGGCATAGACCTACACACCACTCATCAAGGCATGCTGCGGTGGCATCCTATACACAAAAAAAAGAGGAAGACTGGCACGGCTGTCAGGTCAGAGACAATCTTCCTAGAGCAAAAAGGGGAAGATTGGCAACAGACGTTAGCTCATGGCCAATCTTCCTCACCAAAAAAAAAAAAAAACTGTTCAATGGTTATGTTTAATTGTACCAAAACTTTCTTTTTTTAAAAACGTACAGAAACTCTTGAAATACAAGTAGGGGAAAATATAGTGTCCTTTGGACATACTCAAAAATATTTTCCTGCCTTAATAATAATATTTTGAGTAGTTTCTTCCAGAATTTGATTTCTGATCAGTGGTAAACATGATCAAAATGGCTGGCTACGTTTTGAAGTCTGTACGCCCACAGAAAACTGTACGCCTGAAATACAGCAAAAAAAAAACTAGTCCAAAGTACTTACCTTCAGTAGTGTTAGATTTTGAAAAACAAAGACAGAAACAGTTGATGGGCACACTAGTACATTCTCCCACAGAATTACATTTTAAAAACTCTCACCCCTCACCTGTTCCAATATCCAGCATTATTATCAAAATTCTGAGGCACAATATTAGAAAGGTAAAATGTTTCAGCCATGGCTTTCTGTGAAAAGAAATAAAAATAGTAAGTTGCACTGAAATGCCCTCCCCTTTGATTTTTTTTTTTTTTAAAGATTTATTTATTTATTTTCCCCCCAAAGCCCCAGCAGATAGTTGTATGTCACAGCTGCACATCCTTCCACTTGCTGCATGTGGGACGCGGCCCCAGCACGGCCGGAGAAGCGGTGCATCAGTGCGCGCCCGGGATCCGAACCCAGGCCACCAGCAGCGGAGCGTGGGCACCCAACCACTAAGCCACGGGGCCAGCCCCCTCCCCTTTGATTTTACAAAGCAGACACAGAAAAACAGTTCCTTATTCATACGTTAGCTCTAGGCAATTACAGTGACTACTTGTTTAGATAAGTGATACAAGCCATAGCTACTGCAGAACAGAAAGCTCAATATTATTCAAAACAAGGACTAGAACAAAATAAGTAGTTTGGTATGCTAGTTTTCTTTATAAAATTCAAACCTACAATGTAGACTCGAAGAACTAAAAATTTCCAACACAAAGCTAAAGGGTAAATTCTGGTTTTAAGCCTCTGGCAAAGGGTTTCTCAGTAAAGGTCAACTCTCAGGAATTTTAATAAGTAGTACAGTACAAACATATTAGTTCAAAAGTGGCAGAGAAAAATAGCTCATTCTTCTGAATTTCTGGCCACCACGTGTTCACTCATTTCACACTTCTGACCCATAAATACAAGGCTCTATCATTGTACTTCCTTCCACTGATGTATACTAACTGCCAAAGCCACCAATTACCTTCTCTTCAAGCAGTGGCTCTCAACCTAGGATGAACATTGGAATAATCTAGGGAGCTTTAAAAATACTGATGCCTGGGATGCACGCCCTAGAGTTTCTAATTTAACTGCTCTGGGTTACAGGTCTGCACATTAGGATTTTTTAAAACTTCCCCACGTCGGGGCTGGCCCCATGGCGTAGCGGTTAAGTGCATGCGCTCCGCTGTTGGCGGCCCGGGTTCGGATTCTGGGCACGCATCACCGCACCGCTTGTCAGGCCACGCTGTGGCAGCGTTCCACATAAAGTGGAGGAAGATGGGCACAGATGTTAGCTCAGGGCCAGTCTTCCTCAGCAAAAAGAGGAGGATTGGCATGGATGTTAGCTCAGGGCTGATCTTCCTCAAAAAAAAAAAAAAAAAACTTCCTCAGGTGACTATAATGACTACCCAAGGTTGAGAACCACTATCTTAACAACAGTAATCACCAACAGTTCATGAAATAAATGTCCATGTCATAAAAGACATTTCTCCCCTTTTTTGACAAATTATCCCAAATTAAAGGAGACTAGAAAGACATGACAACTAAGTGTAATATGTGATTCATGATTGGACTCCAGATCAAAAAAAAAGCTGTAAAAGACATAAGTGGGACAATTTGGTGAATACGAATTGTATATTAGATATTATTGTACAAATATACAAAAATACATTTGCACATATTTCTTGGTACAATGATATTCTTGTCCTATATATAAATATCCTCATTCTTAGATGATAAATCCCAAGTGATCTATTTAGGAATGAAGTGTTATGATGTCTGCAATTTAGTGTCCATGGTTATAAAAAATTATATATACGTAAACATATATGTAAAGTAAATATATCAAAATGTGTTTCTTGTGCTATCTTCTCAACTTTTCTACACGTTAAACCGTTTTTGCTGGAGGCTGGCCCGGTGGCGGAGTGGTTAAGTTTGCGTGCTCCGCTTCGACGGTCCACGGTTCGCAGGTTCGGAGCTCAGGCACAGACCGACATACCACTTGTCAAATCATGCTGTGGCGGCATCTCATATCAAGTAGAGGAACATGGGATGGATGTTAGCCCAGGGCCAATCTTCCTCAACAAAAACAGGGGGATTGGCAGCGGATGTTAGCTCAGGTAAGCTTACCAAAAAAAAAAAAGTTTTTGCTGTACTCTTTTCAACTTTTCTACAGGTCTGAAATTTTTCAAAATAAATATAAGTGAGTAGCTTTAGCTCCTAGTGGCTTTCCAGTTCCCTTTTACATAGCATTTAATTTTCCTTATTCAACCTGTTTAACAATGCCTCAGCATCTGAACAAAAAAAAAAAATAAAGTCAGGAAGAAAAATAAAAAATAGAGTATGGAAATTCTCAAATGTTAAGGTTTGGCTCCTAAGTTTTTAATCTCCAAGTCCCATGGTACGCATAATACCAGCCCCGTATTCCTATCCCTCCCCAAAAATATGCCTACAGATGAAAATTTGTTATTTCCTGCTGGAGCCATGTGTCCTCGTGACCACCCACTTCCAAGATAGTCCTCGTTGAAGGCACTGAAGGCTGCAGGGATGTTGGGATCAGGCTTGAATTTACAATGTTTTCTGTCTGCATCACCTGAAGAAAAACACACAAAATGGGTAAGTTAGCAGCGGACAAATATCCCTCAAGATTCTCTAAGCAAGGCAAGCTGGCTGCTGCTGGCTGGTATCTCTCTGAGCAGCTAGTACTTAGTGATTGCATGCATGTCTCAAGTTCCTGGGATAGTTCAGATACTTCATCTGAATTTAGCAAGGACTAGTCTAGGAAAGAATGCTTTTCATACAGTGTAGCTATCACATATACTTTTGTTTCTGGCCTTTCAAGTTAAAGCAAAAATCCGCTGGGTAGTATTTAAGTAAAAACAATGACCAAATAGCTAAACAGTATAAAAACCTTAGCTACTAAATAAATTCTTGCTTTTTAAAGACACCTATGTACTGTATTTTGTACAACTGTATTTGACAAGTTTATATGTACTGAAATAATGGATATATATAGACACAAAACAATTTGTTCTGGGCAGACACAGCCTAGGGGAGGGAGAGTGTCTCTGATATCTTGCTTACCGCCTCTTAAGCCATGACAAAACAAACATTTAGGTTATGAGCTCAATCCAGAAACTCCTGAAATAAAATATCTGAGTACCACATGGGAGAGAAGAAATCTCAATTTTATTTATATTCTGATACCTCAAGAATAGTCTGCCACAGCAGACATCAGCAAATCCTAACACTACATTTCCCACTGTCATTAGGACAGATCTTGTTAAACTACAAAAATTATGAGGACAAATGGAATATACTCAGGCTGCTAATCAAAAAAGTGCAAAATGGAGATCAATGAAGTTACTGATTCCAATGTCATTTCATTCAGCCAAGTAAAATTTAAAATTATCAGATCCCCAGGTTCAAAGTATCTAATATACAGCTTTTTAGAATCACTTCATAAAGAAAAAAATAACTGGTAATACAGAAGAATTATTAGTAAAGTTCTCCAAGTGTCATTACCATTGGAATCGCTTCCTTGTATGCATGGTTATCTTTGCCCGGTGCTCACCGTCCTTGAAAACACATTTGTAGGAATTTCCAAAGGCTTAGGATGAAGATGTCTTCCTTGAGAAAGGATGTAAATTTACTTCTATCAAGCGTCTAGAAGCATTACCAGTGGAGGACCACATTAAACCAAGTTCAAGGCTTAAGGTTCCTTGGTCTATTCAGGCTATATGGCTTTGGGCTACAAGTCTGCATGACAAGCAGTTTGTGGCCTCAACTTCTCTGAAACAAGCTTTTTATTTTCCTTTTGACCCTTCCCTGCTCACTGCCAAGATAACCTTCCATACAGTCCCCTGTGATTGGCAGGCAGGTTAGTTCTGGTTCACCTTTCCCCAAGGGTGCAGCTCTCTGGGGTTCTAGGTTAATATGGGGAGGGTATCTTATATGACAGTCTACCTTGGGTGAGCCCTGGATCCAGCGTTCAGTCTCCCTAACCCTATAAAGCTGCAGAACCAAAGACAATGTGGCTTTGCTTTGCCAGGACTGCCCTTACCTCTCTGGATTTTGGTTTTCCCCCAAATATTGGTCTGGCAATCGCCACTATCATGCTCTTCTTCTTTTTCAGTGATTTTTTTCTATATACTATTATATACTGCTAATAACATTTCTCATTGCTTTTAGCAGGAGAGTTAGTCTGAATAATTTAAGTTTGTCATTACTGAAAACGAAAGACTCTTTACACTAAAATCAAGTAAATCACAGGTATACTGCTTCCTGTTTTCAAATAATATTATTTTACCTCCTCAAATTAAACAGCTCACAAGATTAACAATATGAAATGCAGTGTTTTTCTTATATGCCTCTGAAAATGAGAACTTAATAGCAGGATAAAATTAGCAAAGCCAAAATTCCTTTTTTCTTGGGAAAATTTTTGTATTTAAAGGAAATTCATTAAGCTTGAGACTAAATCAAAAATTTCTCTTGATGTAAATTTATAATCAACTCTCAACTGCTATGATAAACCTGCATCAGTTTCCCTCCAGCAGCAAGCACATTCCATACCTCCTGCTATGCTGCTGGTTGGTCTGCACTCTAGAAAGCACCAACTCATTTTAACATCACCATTTTAAAATACATAAACATAGCATGCATTGTTAACCAAAGGAGAAATAATTTGCAGGCCACACAGCAAATTAAAAGGCAAATAACAAAATGAGAATAAAATAACTATGACAAAAAGTAATATACTTAATATATAAAAGAACTCCTATAAATCAATTCAGAAAAGAATATCGCAACTGAAAATGGTTAAGAATAATTTCCAAAAAAAAGAATAATTCATAAAATATTAACCCTCATTGTATAACGAATAAACACAAATAAAATCAGCTATCAAACTGGAAAATCTCAATAATGTTCATTATCGGTGAGGGTTGGGAGACCAGGACAAATACTGATGGTGGGAGTATAAATTGGAATAATCTACCTAGAAACCAATTTGACATTAAATATCAAGATCTGGTCACCTTAATTACAGGAATCCACCAAGACATAAGGACACATGAACAGACTTGTGTACCTGCCTACCTCTCATCTCATTTCACATCATGTTCTCCCTTGTTCCAGTCACTATGGCTTTCTTTTAGTTCCCTAAAGGAACAAAATTCTTCACATTGGGGCCTTCAAAGATGCAACTGTGCTTTTCTTTCTGCCTGGAATGCTCTTCTCCATATCCCATGGCCCACCCAACTCCTCTGACTCGCCATCCACCCTTCAGGCTACTTTCTCAGAGAAGGCTTGCTAATCAAAATCAGGTTCTCCTGTTATAATCTCTCATCATATTTATTTATTTATTTATTTATTTATTTTTCCCCCAAAGCCCCAGTAGATAGTTGTATATCATAGTTGCACATCCTTCTAGTTGCTGTATGTGGGACACGGCCTCAGCATGGCCAGAGAAGCGGTGCGTCGGTGCGCGCCCGGAGTCTGAACCCGGGCCGCCAGCAGCGGAGCGCGCGCACTTAACTGCTAAGCCACGGGGCCGGCCCTCTCATCATATTCTTTACTGTGCCTTAATTATACTAATCCAAGTTGCAATCACTTTTCCTTCAGAACAATTACTATCAATAGTAATTATAAATTCGTGATTATTTGGTTGATACGTCAACCCACCTCCTTCCCAACTCAAAGTGCCATGGGGGTAGAGACCATATATTTTGGTCACTGATATATCCCCAAAGCTTAGCACAGTGCCAGATACGTGGTAGGCACTTAAAAAATATTTGTGGAGGTAATGAATGAATGGTGCTCATTGCAGCAATATTTATGACAGAGCCTCCAATGTGTGTGTCAAGATACGGATCCTCTCAGCTGTTGAGACATCTGGGAAGGGTCTGGGGCTCCCTGGCTGCCAGGCAGGGTCCATTTATCTAGTGAGCCATACAAACATGATCATTTTCTAAATGTGCTATAATGCGAAAAAGGTGGAGATTATCACTAACCTTTGTTCTAAATTTGGAAACATCTTTCATCAATGCCTTTACTTAACTACGTACCTATTATCTTGTTTTTGGATATATGTTCAAGAACCCATCTAGGCACCCGCTTTGACTGATCATAAGACAAGGCATGGTTAGTGTAACACTTAGTCTCTGTTCCAGTTAAAGGGAATCCAAATTGTTCCAAGAGAGCCTTTTCTGCAGAACCTAAAAATGGAAAAAGGGGGGGGGGGACAAAAATAACAAATAGTTAGTGACTCTTATTAGAAACAAAAAATTATGAGTAAAGAGAGAGGGGTAAGACTTACAAAAGAGTGACTCAAAAGTCTAATCAACCAGATCTCATTTTTACAAGTACTTATAAAGCAGAGAAAAAAAGACACAGTAGGCAAAATACTGGTTTTATCTAAAATCAATTGTAGTTACATCAAGATAAACTACAGCTACCTCACTAACTTTTAAATAAGGACCTTATCTTACTGGTCTTTCCCATACAATTCTCAAATTTCTGCCCCACAAAGTACTGTGTTTACAAAACCAGCAAAGGAAAAATTCCCTTCATTACTAGTCATAGGTATGATTGACCCGGGAGGAGCCAACCCATTCATTACTTTTTAAGAGTTAGAGTGGGGACAAAAGCACAGCCTTTAAATTTTTTTTTTAAAGACCATCATCCATTGACACTCTTCCTCAACGTTCTGGTACTGAAGTAGAGATGTGTGCTGCAGCAAGGCAGTGGTAAAACTGGTGTTGTTTTCCCTAGTGGGAGAAACCAAGCACGCATTTAACTGGGAGAAGGTTTCAAAATAATCCTCTCTTGATGCCTTCTCCAGTCTTCAACCCACCAAAGTAGTTGTCTTGCTAAATGCCAAGTATCAGAAGGAGCAAGTTAAATTAGCAGGTCGGGGAAAGTGTAAAAAAGGAGCATGAGCTCATTTTCTTTGTCAAATATAAGGTACCCCTGGTAACTTGAGGACTTACATACTTTGAAGAAGGGCTAGCAGGTATTCTTCATTTGAACGAAGACAAAATGACAATAAACTACTCTGCTAAAACTGTTAATTTATTCATTCACCCATACTTATTGAACGCAATTATGTACCAGGTACCGTACTGTGTACATGGTGGAGAACAAACCCCACACAGTCCGAGCTCTTAAGGAGCTGACAATCTAGTGGAGGACACAGACGTGAAAACATACACATCGTGATAAATACTTTTGGGGAGAGAAGGAGAGAAAATGAAGATCCTGGGGGAAGGAAGTACGTGAAGGAGGCAAGCGAGACTCGAGGTGAAGAGAGGAAGCCAAGCCGGGAAACTGGAAAGGCCGCAAACCAAGGGCCGGGCGAATGGAGGGAGCCGCGCGACGAGGATTAGGATTCACGCCCGAGGAAGGAGTCCGGCCTAAACCCCGGGAAAGGAAAGCCGGCCCACAGACTTACCGTCGGGCTCCCTCACCGCCAGTGCTGCCTCAGCGCCCTGACTCCGGAGGAACTGAACGGCCGTGAACCCGGCCCCTGTGGCGCCCACTACCGCTCCGGCCACGAAGGCACTGAAAACGCGCCGGGAGCCCCTGAGGCGGGAAGCAAAACTTTTGGCAGCCATCTTAACCAGGGCACCTGCCTTTTGCCATAGCGCATGCGCACCCCGGGTCTGACACGTGAAAGCCAATCGTAACCGCGGGACCAAGACACGCATGCGTAACCTGGAGTCGCGTGGTACTGAGGCTCTCAGGTGACGCCGGAGGTCCAGAGCGCAAGCGCACGCTCCTCTCAGCGGAGGGTCTCGCGCGCCTCCTGGTGACAAAACTGGAAGCCCAGGTGCAATCCCACTTCCACCCCTGGTCCACTTGGTGATGGGTGGGATCATGACGTCTTGAGGGCTCAGTAGTGTGCATATACAATATGCAATACCTTTAGTCTAGTCCCACTTAAAAGGTGAGTAAATCACTTGCGCATGGTTACATTAAGGTCCCCGGAGCGGAGATTCCAACTCAGATCTGATTCCAAAACCTGTGCCACACTGGATATCTTCATGACACCTGGGTTTGAAGTCACATGGAATACAAATCATAACCTCTAAAAATAGCTTTGTACCTGCTAAGGAGTTTCTTGACAAAACAGTACTCCGTGGTAGCTTAGGACCCTGAGTGACGGGGTTTGGATCCCCCTTCAACCACTGTCCACCTTGGGTGTGTTGCTTCACCTTTCTAGGCTTCCGTTTCCTCTTTAAATGGGAATAATAATAATAATTACTTAAACCATAGGGTTCTTGTGAGGATTAAAGGGCATTAATCATGTAAAAGAGTTTAGGGAAGAACCTGGGCATGTTGTTAGTGCTCTGTAAATGTTAGCGACTTTTGAGTCATCTCTACTTTCTTTATCTTGATAGAATATACAATGCAGATGGCTGAATGCTGACAAAGGAAGGATAAATGCACTCCCAATGAGAAATAAATGAATCTTCTCCATTTTGCAGCACAATCTCCAGCATTCCATGTGCACTTAGTTCACTAAGCAGGAGGCCATTTCTTTTTTTTTTTTTTTTTAATTTTTTGTTTATTGCAGTAACATTGGTTTATGACATTGTAAAAATCAGGAGGCCATTTCTAACAACCAACTGAAGAAGGGTAGACATTGTTTTGACGGCTTCGTGGCTCCATGCCCCCTCCTCGGGAATATATCTGGAGAAGTCATTTTGTCTAATTGCCTGCGCCTGTGACCCTAATTGGTTGAGCTAGGTCAACCAGAGTCTTTCCAGGGATTTTGGATCTGGAACTCTCTCCAGGTACCAAAGCTGTGACATGAAACGCTGGCACTGTCTACAGCCTTGTCTCCTGCTAAGTAGACAACAGAGCAGGCGCACCTGGTCTTGCACTGAACAAGTGGAAGAAATGCTGAGACACAGGTGAAGGCCTGCAGTGCTGTCACCTCAACTGTGACCCCAGCTTCCAAGGTTCCTGAAGCCCAGATGCATCCTGCCTTTCCCTGAGGCTTGGCTGGCCACTTGCCCCAGGATCCTTCCAGTAAAGCCCCCTTTTTGTTTAGTGGTTTCTGTCATTTGCAACCAAGAGTCCCGACAAATACAACCAGGCAACACTGGTATCTGTAGGTTTCAAAGCTACTTTAGCAGCTTCCATCAGAAGTTACTAAATATACAATTCACTTAAGAGGTATTTCTCAAGGCCGCCCTAAGTGCCAGGCACTGTGCTAAACACTAGAGAGAGAGAAATGGTAGGTGACTCTTCCTCAATCAGATCCTGTACTTGGGAACAACAGTGAACCCCACATTTGGCCCCAAGAGGTCAAGAATTGCAAGAGCTGCCTGCCTTTGTGTAAGTACCTCCCTCTGGGCCTGTTTGCCCACCATAAAATGAAGGGACTGGACCAACAGTTTTTAAACTAGAATCAGGGGAACCCTAGTATTCCATATGGGTACTTGAGGAAGGTTGAATGGCTCCTGAGCCCTCTTTTACTTGCTCACTTGGGCAAGCCTGCTTTTATAAAGCAGCTTCTATGTCCAATTTCTTTGGGTGAAAGAAGTCCTTTACTGAAGGGAAAGTTTGACCAGACGACCCCTACAGTCCAGCCTTCCAGTGTTTCTAGCTCCAAGGTCCTCATTCAAACATGTTAACGTTTTGCCTTCCTCTCCTTCTCTGTGCTCGTCATTAGGGGCACTCACTAAAGAAAGGTGGACTTCCTAAATCTGAAAGAGCAAAAAGGGCCAAAAACTGGACAACTGGTCCCTACATAAAGGGCCCTTTCATCAAAAACTGTTCCCCAAGAGCTCCAAGCAGGTTGTTTAATCCTCATAATAAAGAGTGAATAAAAGGCATTAATTAACCCCACCAAAAGGAGGATTCAAAGCTGGTGTTTCTTCACTTAGCAAATATTAGTCATGGGCCAAAAAAATCTTTTGTTACTGCAGAAAGCAGTGAGGTGATTTCTGGGGTTTTTCTGTTTTGTCAGGTAGTAAAGACTATGATGATATTATTAGCAGGGAAACATGTTTTCATTTCATGAGATAAGTCAGGAACTCCAAAATGTGAGCCCTGGCTTGGGATTCGAATCTGCAGTGGTGCCCCATAAAGATACTTTTCAATAGCGCAGCAAGTGACCCTGGTAGTCAGCCATGTTTGGGAATGGCAGAGCTTGTATTCTGCAGGAGTCCTGAATATAACTTATTTTCTAGGTTTCTCTGCTCTACTTACAAAAATATTGCTCAGGGTTGTCTGCAAAGTATAGGACTGGGGGTGGGAGTGTGTGTGCAGGGATCTTAAGAGATTTGGAAAATACACCCCTGCCCTGGAGGAATTTACCCAGAGTCCCAGGACAGTCCATTTAGGAGAAGCCCACATGTCTCCAACTAGGTTGGAGAAGCTACTGAAGGGCAAAAATGGAGGCCTGTGCTTAACTCCAGCCCTGCAGGATGGTGGTAGAGTAGGCCTTCAACCATTAACAACTGACGTGTACCAAGCAGGAACTCACAGAAGTGTTTGAGTTGGCCCTGTAAGTGGGAGACCACCATTTTATTTATTTCTAATTCCCATGAAAAGAAACCTCAATCCCCTGCCATGTGATTAAGAGACAACAAGGTTTTATTGTTATTTTATTTTCATATACAAAAAGATAAAACTTGAAATAGTTCTAGATTTTTCCTCCTATTCTGTTGGGGTGTGGCTGCTGCTTCACACAGGGGGAAAAAAACTACATTCACATCGGTTTATTTGAGGACCCAGTGCAGAGTTCAAGCAGCAAAACCCCAACTTAGCAGATCTAATTTCAAACTTGACACTCATTTCTAAAATTACCACAGTAAAAAGGAACAAAGATCCACTGCAAATGAATGAACTATGATACAATGCTCTTTCCAAAATGTCTTCATTTTGCAACTGTAATTACATAGATGTCTGCTTTTGGCCATTTTAGATGTGTGCATGTATATAATATATATATGTGTGTGTGTGAGAGAGAGAGATATATATATATATATATAAGTCAGCACACTTTTCAAATCCAGACAGGGTAACAGCAACAAGCTTAACTCTGTGTGTGTGTGTGTGTGTGTGTGTGTGTGTGTGTGTGTATATATTTTAAAACATGATACTTTAGTATATCTTTTGTTAATTCAGTAGTACAAGCTATTTCTGTTCTACAAAATTTTATTTTATAGCTACAAGGGTGAAAAGTGACCTATTACATTTACATCTCACATATCCTGGTATACAAACAGTACTTACTGAATTTGAGCCAAAAACTAGAAGTCTTTAGTTTTAGCACTTGAAGAGCTTCCTCACTTCTACAGCCTTAAATCATATACTAGTCACATTTCCAGAGTTTGCAATTACTCATTTTTAAACCGCGAGAAACAGGTGAATCCAAACTTTTAATTACAATTTTTATATACAAGTTAGATAACACAGCTCAATGAGACTTCGCTATCCATCCTAAACCCAACACACACATTCTCCACTAAGTTAGACAAGTCTTAGGGTTTTCCTTCTTTTCCTTACAAATAATGTACAAATTTAGAAGTAGCCGGTAAAACTGATAAGATGGCAAATGAGAGGTGACATTTTCTGTTGGTTCCAAAATTGGTCCTACAAATTTTGCACTCTGCTGTGTTCTTTAACTGTGTCTGTTACATGCAGAAGCTCTTTTCACAAGAATTGACATCAAACTCGATCTGAGTTAAATTTATAGTACTGTATAAAGTTATTCAGATTCAAGAAGGACAAATGTGGAAAAATATTAACAGCTGAAAAATTTGGCCTTTGACGCTACCATTAGGATCATGTCAAATTCATAAGCAGATTCTTTTGTACAGTTGAAAAATGGCATTGTGTGGATTTGTGGTGTGGAACTGAAATCTAGAAGTATGTTTCTAATCTGCGGTAACCCTCACCCTCAATTCTCAAGTACCACTCAATTTTCTTTGCATTTTTATAGAATTCTAGAAAAAATGGGGGGGGAAAAGCCGCTGGCATTTTAACAATTCCTCCCCTCACAGGAGGTCTTAACACTTCCAATGAGGTCTCCTAAGAATCTCTGTATGGTCTCTGGCTCCCAGACAGCCTTTGACAATGACTTGGACACTTTCCAAATCAAACCCCAGATGTTGCCTAATCCTTCCTACTCTTATCTCTATCACTGCTGGTAATTTGGATGAGCGCGTTTTTCCCTTATGGAGAAATTATTTGGCTAAACATACACTTAACTTGTGGCAGTGCTCTGAGAAAACCCCACCTGGGCTAAAGCACTTGCAGGGACTGAAGTCAACAGTCCGCTGAACAGGGCAAAGACCAAACACCCCGAGGGCTGAGTCCAGACCCACTGGAACACACTGGCCTTGGCGTCGACGGTCAGCGGGACAGCCCAGGCAGGCAGCCCACTCTCGTACAGCTGAGTTACCACTTTTAATCTTGGCCTGCCATCTATGCCCCAGAGACAAAAACTCAGATGTGGTGACTGCTGGTTAATTAAACTTCTTGAACTGGTAAAAAAGGCTCTTTAAAAAATATATATATATTTATTTAAAATACATCAAAATGACAAACAGCCATATCCCGCAAGGCCTAATTTCACAGCAACATATGCTATAGACATCTTCCCAAAATGCACTGTGGTGGATGGT